GTTACTTTCGAAGTATTCCCATATCTGATTCATCAGAAGTATTTCGAAAATTTTTGCTATAATTGGTATTATAGAAATGGGTCTGAAATTACATGGATGAGTCTCAAAATGGATCATTCTCACAACATTTCTTGAAGAGTGGCAGAATCTTTGCAAGTTTTAATAATTTATACTTACTAAAGACATAATTTTTTCAAAGTGTTTTTTTGGCGACATAAGGACTACATTTAAGGCATGCTGTTGCATCAATGTTAACGTTTTATCTTTGATTTTGTTTACCTATGTTAAAATGTTATCTCTCAGTTTTTGTGAAGAAAGCAGTTTCTGAGAGCTATTACAGATATTTTTAGTTAATGCTATTTCATTTACTAGTGTAAAGAGGTCCAAATTATCACCATGTTAGCGACTTTGACAGCAATAGAATTATTGCCTAGCGAGATGTTGGTTTGTCCTAACGCGAAATTGGCCACCGTGTTAATTGTAAGGTAATGACGGTAGTGCGCGTGTGTCGTGTGTGGATAGAAGAAGGTAGAGGAAGACGAAGCAGTCCAACTGGTCCACCGAGGCATACCACGGAGCATCAAGTTAGGCGCTTCGAACAACTAGCCTTACGAGATCGTTTTGCTAGTACGCGTCAGATCGCCGACCAATGGTTTTGAGAAGAAGGTAGACATGCTAATGCGAGATCGCCCACCACAGTATTTTGTCTTATTGCTTGTCAACAAAATTTCGTAAAAATGTTATCGTTTCATTCTTGATGTGAGACTACCTTACTGACAAAAAATCGGGTTGAAGAAATTATTTTTTCTGGGTGTAACACTTCTAATATCACTGAGTATATTTTTATTATTTTATTTATACCGTTTTTTTATATCTTTGTAAGGTTAAGTGGAAGAGCACGCAATGTGTATTCCGAACTCCTATTATTATTATTATTATTATTATTATTATTATTTTCCTGAGTTTTCACAGCTTAAGCTGGTAGTATCTGGGCCACCTCGAATGACGTTTATAGATGGTGGCTCTGGGTGGGAATGAAATTCATCATGACCCGCCCTCAATTTCCTATATCGATAAAAACTTTCTTGTAATCCGACAAGTGTCGAGGATCACTGCCTTCTGCAGTTGTATACATGTACCCTTTGGAAGGTTCAAGACTTTCAAATTCTCCGACAAAGCGTTCGTGGCGACCCCTTCCACTGATATGATGAAGGGAATAATCATTACTTCTTTTAACTTCCACATCCGTGCTAATTCTATTTTGAGGTCTTGATATTTGGAGCATTTATCAGTTTCCACGGACTTAAGATTATGCGTAAGTGGAACCGCAATATCGATTATGATTCCCATTTGTTTCTGTTTGTCTATAAGGACTAAATCAGGTCGATTATGCTCTATGCGCCTATCAGTGGTTATTGGGCGGTCCCAATACATCAATATAAAAAAAGTCAACGCCAAACAAAGTGGCGTGCACGTCATCACGATAAAAATTCCCCGACCTAATGCCTAGGTTTCTATCACAAACAATTGCTCTATTGCAGTTTCATATTAATGTGATATATAAATTGTAAAATGGTCATTACTCTCTTATTATGGTTAATAGTCATATAAACATTGTTATTAAAATATCACATAAGTTGCTTTCTGATAAATTTAGACACATTATGCGAAATAAAATGTTTTGCAAACGCTCCAATCACTTATCGACATGTAAACGCACTAAACCGATTTCGCAGCGTTGACACATTGTCACCTTGAAACTTATTTAAAGTGGGAACTGACATTTGTATTAATTTTGACACTGAATCAATTTGTGGCATTTCAAATCTTTATAAATCCTTTGGCCCCGCATACGGTAAATCAACAACTGTTTGTTTCAAAACAAAATTATTCATTTTACGAGTAGATAAAGGCAATTTTGGTATATAAAGATGCCCAAACAGTTAAATAGTCGGTGTAAGGAACTCGTGGCCTCGTTAATGCACTACTTTGAGCAAGAAAGGGACAACAACGGGCCTTTGTTGCCTTTAAATGCTGTTCAAGAGGTAGGTTACTAATAATTATATGTAATGTATATTAATAATAGTGAAATTTTATTTCATTTTTTGTAGCGTGTTGCTGCTGCTTTAAAAATTAGTTTAAGGACAGTTAGTCGTATTTCCGAGGGTGTGAAAAGTGATGCAAATTTAGAATCGCCCAAGAAAAAGCGGAGTTATATTAAACGTGTAACCAACACAGCGACATTGGATACAAGTGCCATTCGAGAAGTGATCTATAATATGTATCACAAAAGTAAGATCTTATTATAATAACTTATCAGAAATTTGCATTAATTTGTTAACTAAATTATAATGTCATATTACACATGGTTTCAGAAGAACAAGTTACGATACAAACTTTATGGTCTCGATTAAGAGATAGGGCATTAATTGATGGTAGTGCCACGTCTTTAAGGCGGTTGCTTAGAGATCTTGGATTTAAGTGGCTTAAGGACAATCCGCGACGAGGGCTCATGGAACTACCAAGTATAGCTTTGAAAAGGGTGGAATTTCTAAGGCAATACAATCAAGCCAAGGTTGAGGCCTTATACCAGTTTGTCTTCTTCGATGAAACTTGGATATTTCAAAATGGGACCATAGGTCGCTCTTGGCAAAATGGAAACCAAAAAAGCGTGAAAGCTATTAAAACAAATGGTAAAAGGTATGTACTTTTACACAATTTGCACTATAAAATTTAAAACTAATATATTTTAGATACATTATATTACATGCTGGAAATGAAAATGGGTTTATTGAGGGTAGTGAAGCGATATTTTCTTCGAAAACAAAATTGAGCGATTACCATGGAGAGATGAACCAGGACAATTTTTTGAAATGCTTTCAACATCAGTTATTAGAAAAATTGGAGAGTCCATCTATGATTATACTGGATAACGCCCCTTATCACAGCATGATATTGAACAAAGTGCCCAACAATGCATGGACAAAAAAAATATCCAAGACTGGTTGACAAATCAAAACATACCATTTTTAAACACAATGTTTAAAACAGAGCTATTGAGTATTGTTGCTCGGTACATAATGCTTCTTAATTATATATATTTTGGTCGACAGTTTATATTTCTTTTGTTTATTCCTATTCTTAAAATAACTGCTTTTTTAGAAACAAACCACCTAAAATATACGTGATTGATGAATTGGCGGAACAACATGGGCACAAAGTTCTTCGTCTGCCTCCTTACCATTGTATATTTAACCCTATTGAGTTAATTTGGGGCATAGCAAAAGGTTACTATAACAGACATATTGGTAGAGATGGTAACAATGAAAAAGACTGTTTGGATATGTGGAACGAGGCTCTACAAACGGTTACCCCAGACATGTGGAAAAATAGTGTTCGACATACTGAGCAAGAAATTTTTAAATGGTATGAAAGAGAACGAATTTTTGATCGACCAGACATCGAACCTTTAATAATCAACTTTGAGAGTGATGAAGATTCAGATTCAGACAGCGCTGAAGAAAGAAACTCCGACTAACTTTATTGTACAGAAAAAGCTTACACCAGTAGCTTACCTAATTTTAGAATGCATTTTTCTGTATGAATTCTGTAAAATAAATACCATGCATAAAATTTGGAGGACCCCATTTGGATTTTTATTCAGTACCTTTAAGCTATCAATTAAATATGGTAGTTTCATAGTGTCATCTGATCAATAATTGTCATACTTAATGATTATGCAAGTACAGATCTATAACTTTATTATACTATTATTTTTGTTCTCATTTGAGGTTAGTATTGCTTATAAACCTAGATATGTAAATAATAAATTTTATTATTTTACAAAAAGTTTGGCAACAATGTAAATTGGTTATAGGTTCTGATTTTCTAGAACGGACACAGGGTGATATTTGTAGTAGGGCACCTTTGCCTTTATTAGACCTTCTTTGTGTGCGATTAGCTGGTGTATTATTGCGGCTACTTTGTTGTGTCTGCCTAAGTATGCATCTTTGGCCAGGTTAGGGCATGCTCCTGTGACATGTTCGATTGTTTCGCCTACTGTATCGCACTTACGGCACTTATCAGTGATAGGGTTCTTCAATATATGCTTGTCATAATTTCGTGTGCGGATAACCTTATCCTGTATAGCACAGATAAACCCTTCAGTCTCTGGGTGTAAGAAACCACGCTGGAGAAACGAGAACGATGTTTTTTTGTCAATACCAACTTTCTCCATTTGAGACGGATACCACCTGCCATGCAATTGTTTGTTCTTCCAAGATTGCAACCTTTCTCTTGTTGCATTGCATCTGGATGGCTGTTGCAACTGTGACATATACAGGGGAGTTGCGTTGCAATCTGCCTCTTTGATTAGTTGTACTAGAGCGCTATTTTGGTTTAAGAAATACTCCCGAAGATGCATGATTTGTGTGTGGCACATCTGGGATACGTTGATTAGTCCTCTGCCGCCTTCATTGCGGGGCAGGTAGAGCCGCTCCACAGCAGAGTTAGGATGGAGCATACGAAACTTTGTCATGGACCTCCTTGTTAGCCTGTCTAGTTCTTCCAGATCGGTGTTGCTCCATTTAACGACACCAAAAGAATAAATTAGGGCTGGGACTGCCCATGCATTAATGGCTGATATAATATTTTTTTAATTCAGCTTGGTGTTTAGCAGTTTTATTATTATTATTATTATCAACCTCGAATCTTACCTTCCATTTGGGATTCACCACAACTGGCTGACCATTCCCCCCTCCCCAACAAATTTTAATTCGAGGCTCCTCAGGATAAAGCTAGCCACTGCCCAGACTTTTGATGAGAGAGAGAATCTGCTCAGTGGCATTACCCTTGATGAGGTATGCCCCTAAGGCCATAAGGTCTGAGGATCTACGAATTTCGAAACAAACGCTGGTGATAGCAACACTCTTCACAAACTACAAAGAGTTCGCCATACTTATGCGATGCATTTAAATATTTCATACCTGTTCATGTTTCAGGCGCGAGTGCTGATGTTTCCCGAAGGTACTAGAAACGACAAAAAGGAACTGTTGCCGTTCAAAAAAGGAGCGTTCCATTTAGCCTTGGCTTCGAGGTGTCCCATCCAACCTGTGGCAGTTTGCAGATACACATTTTTGGGGAAACAAGTATTTGATAATGGTGAGCTAATATCTAAAGTAAATAACAATGCACGTGCCCTAGCAAAGTTTGAGAAAAAACTGTTATAAGCGTGTATTTTTATTTAGCTATACCCCATTCGTAGTCCATTTACGCCCATACAAAACACAACATGCCCAACAGCGAGGTTGTACAGGTCCGTATTTTCCTCAATGGTCTTGGGATAATCTAACAAGATAAATGATTATTTTTATAGAAAAAAGTTCACAAACTTTTCACAATACTTGAATCGTCGTCCTAATGGTTAATACTAATTATTACAGATACAATTTGAATATCGATCATATTGTCCAGATCGCACATCTTTGTTTCGATTGTTTCTTGAACGTGACGAATGCAATATTTGGCATGGTTTGCCGTCACTCTGTAAAACAAATTTTTCACGTCAGAAAATTTGAACGTTCTATTGTTTGAAGCGACATAGTTTTTTACATTTGTCCAAATCATTTCAATGGGATTTAATTCGCAGTGATAAGGGGGTAGCCTTAAAACGCTCTTATTTTGGTTTTTAGTCATTTCGTCAATAATATTAAGATTGTATTTATATTTGTGATGCCTGACTAGGTGGATAAGTTCTGCTTTGACCATATTTTCACTGAAACTAATGTCTTTTGATAGGAGACATTGATGAATTTCTGCCTTTCTTGAAGACATTGTGGGAATTTTTTATAGTTTTCTACAGTATATTCAGATAAGAGATAGACCGGATGTAAACAAAAGGTTCGGGTGATTTTCACGCTAACGCCGCCGTCTCGACGTAAAACAGGAGCCCTCATTGGTCAATTCGCAATTAAATGCGTATGCCGAGCGGCAGAGCAGTCGTATCAAGGCAGAGTCACATTCAGGTTCAGACGTGTTACGTATGTCGTGTGCATCATTGCAATTTGATATTTCTTTGGACGTTTTCGTTTGTTATCTTATTAAGTTGTTGAGTTTGTCGTTGTTATTGTTATACCTTGTTATTGATTGTTATTGTTATCAACTGCTTGCGCAAAATGCCCAGTAGTACAGATACTGCCGATGAAGTTGTAAACTCCTGTAGTCCACCTAAGAAACGCTCTAAAAAAAGACACCTGAGTGCAGAAATGAAAGAGGTCATTTTGAATATATATAAGATCGAGCGCGAGGAGAACGAGGCATCAACCATCAAAGAAATTGTTGTGAAGGTTTCTCACAAAGTTGGGGTGTGTCGCGCATCAGTGTTTAATGTGTTAAGACAATACAAAAAAAATCACACCTTTTCTGAGCCAATGACCAGTAAACATCGCAAAAGTATTGTTAAATCATTGGATGAAGCTGATAAGCATGCGATTAGGAGGAAAGTGCATGAATTCTTCTTTAGGAATGAAATACCTACTATAGATAAAGTACTGCAGGAGGTAAATGGAGATACAACGTTGCCAAATTTCAAACGATCAACTTTCCATGCGTTACTGAAGCATTTAAATTTCAAATGGAAAAAACGGGGTCGTAATAGTTTACTACTGGATAGAGAAAAAATTGTGCTATGGAGGAGGGATTATTTAACAAAAATTGGGAAATATAGAAATCAAAACAGGAAGATTTATTACCTTGATGAAACGTGGGTAAACGCAGGACAAACTACAAGTAAAGTATGGGTTGATGATTCTGTAACTTCATCCAGGAGGGCCTTTCTAGATGGACTGTCCACCGGATTAAAAAATCCAGCAGGTAAATACGAGTAATAGACAACAATCGGATGTTTTTCAAACCTTGGGAACAAGGTTCTAAACATTAATTCCAGGGGGCAGATAAAAAATATTACAAGTAACAAAACTTTTATAACTTTCGATAAAATGCGTGGATGTTTTACTGTCATTTTCATTTGTTAGAACTTTTTTAAGCCATGTTTTTATGTGTTTTCGATATTTCAATAATTTTTTAATATAATCTTAAAATATGTCGAATATTATAAACTTAAAAAAAGTTACTAAGTTTTATATTGTGTACAGTTCCTAATATTTCTAATCATTTTAATTCATACTTTAAGCTTTATAAAGTTATAATTTGTTAATATTAATATTTGCGCGTATTTCAGGTTCCTGATCATTCATTTTTTAAAGGTTTATAACTTTAAATTAAATTGTGAAGCGCTGAGTAATCATACGACGTTCAATATTCTTTCTTTCAATATGACTAAATAATCCCAATTATAGCAATCTGATACTCATGTCTCAATGTTTTTTCGCTGAATGTGATGAAAACATTTGAAAAAGGTTCGCTTATTGAAATAAATCTACACCAGTTAGTACTTCGATTTCCAGGTAAAGGGAAAAAAAGGCTCATTATCTGCCATATTGGCAGTGAGGATGGATTTGTTGTTGACGGTCTGTGGTGCTTTGAGTCTAAGAAAACTGGAGATTACCACGCGGAAATGAATGGCGAATCGTTTGAACAGTGGTTTTCAAAAATTTTACCGAACTTAGAGGAATTGTGTTGGATAACGCGCCTTATCATTCTCGAAGAATGGAGAAGGTCCCAACAACGGCTTCAAGGAAAGTTGATGTTTAAAATTGGCTCCGCTCGAAAAATATGAACTTTGAAGAAGCAATGCTGAAAGTACAATTATTAAGAATTGTCAAGGATCACAAGGCGGAATATCAAAAATACGCCATTGACGAAATGGCAGCAAGTCAAAATAAAACTGTGCTCCGTTTACCTCCATACCATTGCGAGCTCAATCCCATTGAGCTCATATGGGCAGAGGTTAAAAATTATATAGCTAAGCACAATACAACTTTTAAATTTTGTGACCTCAAAGGACTTTTCAAAGAAGCACTAGAATTAATAACAGCGCAAAAATGGGAAAACTGTATTAAGCACGTGAAAGACAAAGTTGAAAAGAGAATATGGGAACTGGACAATATTTTAGAGGAACAAGTCGAGCCATTCATTATTGACGTTGGTGCTTCAGGCAGTAGCGATGATGAAAGCTCATCAAGCTCATCTTTCCAATAAAAGATGTCGTTCATCAAATTCGGTAAGTTATAAGTAATTATAAAGCTACTGTATTTTTTAATTAATTATTGACATTTTTGAACCTATTTTGGCAAAACCTATTCAAGAATCTACTTTCTGACAATGTTCAACCATGCACATTTTTTTACGTTTTGAACGTTTTAATTTGGTTACATATTTACCTAGAAATCAAAAAATATACTAATCAATATTCTAAAGAGATATACGACTATTTTTAATTTAGGCTAATTTAAACGCCATTTTGAGATTATATTCGACTGTATTTCACCAAACATCAGGCGGCATCCGAAGCTGGAAATCGAAGCGAAAATTTTGAAACCCTTATGTATATTTACATCATTATATATTTCTTACCCCACCCCCACATGATCCTATATCCATCACCAATCGTATACACATCGAATTGTGCTAATTTACTACAAAGTTACGCAAAGCAGCATCTACTATCTAAAATATGTACTGCGTGACTCTTAATACGTCCCTGCCGAATGTTACAGCGTTCGATGATCACGTGGTCTTGTTTATGTCCGGTCTATCTCTTATCTGAATATACTGTAGTGTGGCATGCAGCATTATCGAGTAAAATGATGGTATTGTCGTCAAGCTTCGGGAGCGTTTCTTCAAACTACCTTTCAAATGAACTCTAAAATTTCGCTCTTATAAACGTTTATTTTGCCTGAATATTCAAATCTTCCTTCTTGTGACGTTTTCGAGCAGACATCACTGAAGAGGAAGCTTGGGTGCAGGAGAAATATTCTCAGTTTTATCTGCTGTATCCTTAGACGACATGTTAACGTATAAACACACTCTTTATATGCACCGAATATGAACAGCAACTGCCGGCGTCGGCGTTGCGGCGATACCCCGAGCCTGAGTTCGATCCTGTCGAATCCGGCACTTGTTTGCTGTTTTATGGGCAAATGACCAATAGCTATTGCAACGCTTAGGCAGCTGCCGCTTTGCCGCGCTGGATCTGTGTTGTGCCGGGGCGTAACTGGACTACGGATAGGGTATAATATGAAAAACTGGCTAATTAGTAGAATAGTTATAATCATTTACAGCGTTCGATAATAATATATCTTCAGAATGATAAGGCGAATTTGATCTCAGATTCAAATCACCATGACACTACCCCAAAATTATCTTTAATATCTACAAGCCAGAATTATCAGCGAGTTATGATCAAATAGTCATGTTTTATTAATGAAATACCTTAAATTCCAAAAAGCGCAAAATGTGAGAACTTTCTAATCCAATCGATCAAACCCTACTTTCATATATCTTATCTTTCTTCACAATGCAACGATATAAGTTGGACTTTAACCTCTAATACAATGTAATTCAAGCTTAAAGGGTCAATTACTATATACAGTCCGCAAAGTTGGGGTTTTCCTTTACACGACGTGTAGATCTTGAAAACATAAGCATTTTTTCTTAGTACCATATACACCAATGTCTTAAGGGAACCGAGATAAAGGGCTCTGCAACATCAAAAATATCTGAATACCGTCCTGTAGCCGCGACATCCCCGACTGGTACTAGGACACTAGCTCAACCCGACGACAGAGCTGGGTCGGGGTCAGTGTGTCAGGTCAGTATGCAACCTTCAACAGACGGTTACGGTCACGCGTCTAGAGGTAATCGCGTAGACGAGAATCCCTCAACAAGCACTCGAGACGTGGCTAGAGAAGTGCAAGTATCAAAAACTAAAGTGTGGCAAACGCTGCGTGAAGAGGGGCTGTATCCGTTTCACGTCCAACGTGTACAAGCCCTTCAACCTGACGATTTTCCAGCAAGAGTGCGGTTTTGTGAGTGGTTGTTGCATCAACATGGCAATAATCCGGACTTTTTGAAGTGCATATTGGTGACAGACGATTAGATTTTCTGTTGGAGCGGTATGATTTCGGGCAGAGACGTACTTAGCCCTTCTCGTCAACTGGAGAGTGAGTACTTTTTCCTTTATTTTTTTTTACTTGGTCGCC